CGAGATAATGGACTCCCCCTGGCATTTCTAACAGATCAGCATGCCAGACACAGATACTGACTCCTTCCTGAATACCTTGCTGACCACCTGCAGCTGAAACTTCCTCAGCTGAATACCTCAGCTCATGTCCCCACCCCTCACCCAACCGCAGTATAAAAAAAAGCGCCCCCCTCCCCTGTTGGCGTGAATCCACGTGCCCTGTCCTTGGGGGTACGTGGGTCTCCCGGGGACGCAGAATAAACTTTCCTTCCTTCCTTTTCTGATCAACTCTCTTTATTTCCTTCGCCGCCTTCTGAGCCACCTAACCTAACATTCTCATAAAGGGGATTAGTGGCCTTATACTTGCTGGCCCTTCTACCATGTGAGGTCATAACAAGAAGTCTATGGCCTGGAAGACAACCCATTTCATTGAAGAAATATGTCCCCCCTGTAGGACTCTGCACTCCCTCCTGTTTCCACTTTCCTCCCCTCCTGTCTGGTGCTGCCTGGATTCCTGCCTCAGCCACTGGGCTGAGATTTGAACACAATTCCTTGGAACAGGGTTCTGGGAAGAGTAGGAAACCTGAGGAGTTTTCCCCCTTGAGAGTAAAACTAGAGACTAGAAGACTTTCCAGTGACTAGTTAGAGGAAAGACCACCAAGAAAGTCAAGACACTGCAGACCACCCTGGCTGGTGTGGCTTAGTTGGTTGGGGGCTGTCCTGTGCACCAAAAGGTTGCTGGTTCGATTCCTGGTCAAGGCACATACCCAGGTTGCAGATTCAATTCCCAGGAGGTAACCAATCATTGTTTCTCTCTCTCCCTCTCCCATCCTCTTTCTCTAAAAAACCAATTAAAACTTTTTTTTTAAAAAAAAAAACAGACACTGGAGACCTCACTCTCCTTCGCTTTGATAAAACCAGGGATAAGCATTGGTCTTATTCTGTGGGTTCTCTACTCCTTGTTCATTTTGAACCCCCACTGGTTCCTGAGGATACCCCAGAACTTCATGTCTAGCAAAGCAGATGTACACCCAGGAATGAAATGTGCACACAGAGGGAGGCCTTTACCCAGGAAGCATTTTATTGAGGATGAAGAGGATGTCGATGAAGAGGGAGGCACGGACAGGATCCCCAAGAGCAGAGTCTTCCAAAGAACACGGCCCTCTAAGCAGGCAACTGGGGATTTGGGGGATCCACTGGAAAGCTGCTGGCTATCAGTAGCAGAAGAATTGCTTGGGCATCTGAAGCAGCTTTCATGTGATGAAACTGAGGCTTCTCTGAAGGGACTCAATTATCTTCCAATGGCTCTCCCTGCCTCTACTCTGACCTCCCTCAAGTCCTGTCACCATATTGCAGGCACAATACTTTTTTCAAAAAATAACTAGGTATACACACACACACACACACACCTAGCTCAGCCAAGAAGAAGCAAAACCCTAGGGGGTGCCCCAAATTATGGGTCCTGATCCATCTACTGAGGCAGTTTGAATTTCTAAATCTTCTTCACCTTCCCCTCCCATTTTAACCCAAGATCTTTCAATTCCAGCTCCCTCTATGGGGTCGAAGAACTTCCAGCCAAGGCAGATGGATTCCAGGTGCATAAGGGACACTTTTGAAGCAAGGAAAGTTAAGGTGCAAAGTCACCTTGGAGTGTGGAGGACGAGTGGCACTTCCTTGAGTTTGGACAAGCAATGAGGCTCAAAGTGCCAACTTGGGAGTCAGTCCTGTCATGGTTCTGATGGAATATAGCGACGTTTACAGATGAAAAGGAACGGATGGTCACAGGGGGAATCATTCCATGACTGAAGTGAGGACATCTTTAAATTGGCACAGTGTTCATTGTTCCCCAAATTGTTGGGCTCACCTGGAATCCAGAACCTATCACATGAAAAAAAACAAAGGAAAACATATTTCCAGTGAAGAAAGGAGTAATTTCAATCCAAGCTTTGGTCCCAGGTGATAATGTCACAAATTTTTGCACCCACGCCTGAGAGGAAGGGAATTGGTGAGCTGTCAACCTCTAAGCCTGCCATCACCTCAGATTAGGACTGAACCGGCCCACCTCTCTCATGGCTCTACACCAACCACACTAGGACATCTAGACATAGACGAGGCCCCCTGCCGAAGCTGGCTGGACAGCCATGCTGCCAAACCCCTGAGGGTACAGAGAGGCCACACGTATGTCCCCGCCCCCACAGCCAATTAGTGACAGAAGTGAGCTGGATTTTGGTTCAGTGCTCCAGGCACCAGTGGACAGGGAAGGATCACAAATGCTATAGTCAGAGGGAAATATCATCCCAGGCTTCTACCCTGGCCCTGATCCAAAAAATGTCATGCTGGGAAGGAGGGCTCTGGGGGCCTTACTTCATACTCTGGACCTTGTTGAATGGAGTCTCATCCACCCAGTACCAGTCCCCATCAGTCCCTGCTTTGGTCAGGCCGATCCAGTAGGGAAGTCCACCTGCTGTTTTGTACAGAAACTCCTGTAGGGAAGACAGAATGAGCAGAGATGCTGCCATCACGGGGAGTTAGAGCACCTGTCACTCTGGGTGTTCTTCTCCTGTCCTCAGTGACAGCCCCTGAACCCACGGACACACCTGCATCCTGACCTTTCTCAAGCTTCTTCCTGTCCCTGCTCAGAGCCAGAGTCCATCTTCCTAATTATTTGTCTTTGCCCTGCAACTAACGGACTCGGGACTCAGGCCTTCTGACCCTCAGGAAGCAGGTGCTAGAGCACAAGAAAGAATCAGCTAAACTCCAGAACAGGGACCCCAGGAGAATGGCCCAAACAATGATATCTAAATGTAGTGAGCACTTCGTATGTACAAGGTACTATACATTTGTATGCACTTACTTGATCGGAATAACTTCAGTATTGTTGTTTGTTTGAGGCAGGTGCTATTATTACTTGTGTTTCATCTGGGACTAGTTAGAGGCAGGGTGGGGATTCTAGACTCTGACCCCAGGACCAAGCTCTTGCCTACACTACTACCACACCTTCCAAATGGAAGGGGTTTGTTCAATTTCCTGCCTCACCAGGCAGAAGACTTCTTGGGTTCTGTGGTGTCAATAATGCTGTTTACAAATATTTCTGTTTTCTGGGCATCCAGAAAGATGGTCCCTTCCTACTCTCTTTGAAGCTAGGAGTATTACATCATTTGCTTTACAATGAAAATGTGAGTAGAGATGTGTTAATTCCGGGCAGAGCCCAGAATACACAATGTGTCATGTTTCCTTTTCCTGCCTCAGCAATTGTGGAAACATACATGAGATGAAGTCTCCTTGAGTAACCACAATGAGCAAAACCCCTTGTAGGCCCTTGTTGGACATGTAGTGTGAGAAGTAATCCTTCATTGTTAGGTCACTGATATTTGGGGATTTTTGTCATGGCAGCATAATCTTGCCCATCCTGCCTAATGCAGCTACTAATATACCTCCAGTAGAAATAACACTCACCTGCTCACTATCTGAGGTCACCGAAGTCAGTTGTGAATTCCTGGACACACAGAACTGCTGGGCGCTGTACCAGGTCTTTGGGACATGAGAAAAGTAATAGAAGTTCTTCTCGAAGTACTTCCAGCCTTGAGAAACCATCTGTAGAATGTCATCTGGAGAACAGGTGAAAGGTGAACACTGGTGTTCCTGTTTCTCTGGGTGCTGGCTAGGTGGGGACACTTAAGTGAGATCCCAGCGATAGCAATGAATGGGGCTGGGCTCTAGGGTCCTTGGGTCCTTGTGTAGGTGTTTGGGGACAATCTTGCAGATTCTGAAAGTCTGACTGAGGTTAGTAGAGTCTCTGGGCTCAGAGAGGGGAGAGAGAGAGGATGGACCAAGAATCTATCTCTCATGAGAGAGAAGCAGTTCTCCACTGGCCATCACAAGTGGCTGAGACCCTGGGCTCTAGGTAAGAAACTTAATGGAAAATAGCTGGGTTTGGGCCAGGACAGAGACTCCCTAATGCCATTTTCTGTGCCTTTGTGTGGAAGCCCAAGTTGGTCCTGGTTCCTTTTCTCCTAAGTCCTCCCCAACCCCAATGCTGAGCCCTCTCTTCTTAGCTTTGCAGCCATGCCTGCCCTGCTCCTCTTCTGCTTCCCTCCACACACACACCAGCCCCAGTGGCCTCAGGCTTGAGACCAGCAAGGTCCCATGGGCCACCGATCAGCTTGCAATATTATTTTCTCAGTCACTTACTTTGCTGTTTGAGTAACGTGCTGATATTCTCCAAATTGCTCTGGAGTCCTCGAATCTTTACATTTAATGCACTGGCTTTATCCAAATCTCTTTTTAATTCTGGGAGCTGGGCATTTAAGCTGTAGACTTCCTCCCAACTTCTTGTTAACATCTGGATCTGTGCATTGACTGCCTTCATACCGGTTTCCAGCCTCCGGATCTGAGAATGCACATAATCCAGGCTAGCATTCACCATCTGGACCTGAATGCCAGCTGCCTTCACGCCGCCTCTATTCCTCTTAATTTCAGAACTCAGGGTGCTGATGTTGTCCACACGACTGTTCAGCAACTGGGCATTGGTCTTTACATCTGATAGTGTGCCCATAAACCAGGGATCTGGATTTGAGAAAGTCAAGGGGTCAGTCAAAGGGATCCCTAGGGAGGGGAGTGGGGGTGTTATCAGAGTGATAAGAGGAAGGGAAGAGATGGGCTCGAGTTTCCCAAGGACCCAACCCAAGGAGCTGTTGTTTATCCTACGTTCATTCCTAATCTATTTATTTAACAAACAAGTGATGGCACCTACCATGTGCCTGGAACTCTGGTAGCTGCGGGCAACGCAAAGATTGATAATCATGGGCTCTCTGTTAGAAGACCTCACAGGCAACAGAACCAGGGATTATAACCCAGTCCTAAATTTTCTTTAAATGTTCAGAGCACATTTGGTAAAGGGACGCCCTCAACCACACCTTTGGCCCCTCCCCACATCCCTCTGTGCCCTGTCACTTGATTCCCAGCCTCTCCTTTCAGAGACTCCTGCAGTGGCCATCAGCGAGGGCAGCACCACCCCTCCCACATCTGTCCACAGGCTCTTTGTGACCATGAGAACAGCCAGCCATGCACACTTCTAACTTGGAAGTCACTTCTCCAGAGAAAACAGAAAGAGAGAATTATTAAACAATTTATCCTCTTCCCTTATCCCTCCCATTGTCACACTCTGATTAGGTCACAGGTTTGGTGCCAGAGAGGAGACCAAAAGTAAACCAAGAGCCCCTGGCCAGTGTGGCTCAGTGGTTGAGCATCGACCTATGAACCAGGAGGTCACAGTTCGATTCCTGGTAAGGGCATATGCCCAGGTTGTGAGTGCAATCCCCAGCGTGGGGTGCGCAGGAGGCAGCTGATTGATGATTCTCTCTCATCACTGATGTTTCCATCTCTCTCTCTCCCTCTCCCTTCCTCTCTGAAACTAATAAAATATATTTCTTTAAAAACCCCACAAAAGTAAGCCAAGAGGGCTCCAAGCAGAGAAGACTCTGCTCAGAGGCTCCAAGTCTAAGATGAAATATGTCCCAAAGCCATAAAAGGAGAAGACAGATGTCCCCTTCCTCTGCTTCCTGATAGAAGGTGAAGGCTCTGCCAGCTGCAGAAGCCACGGGCCTCAGCTGGGAGAAGAAGGAAGATAAGTCACACATCCAGTGAAGAAGTAGGAAGGCTCCCTTGACATGAGAACAGGAGAATGAAGAGAGCACAAAGGGGTCCAGGGGAGGGGAAGAATCCTGGAGATTTGTTGGCTTCTTGGTCAAGTTACCCATCTAGTCAGCTGGGGTTGAGGACACGGTTGGGATTCCATCCCTTGTGGAGTCGGAAACATCTTACTCACTGTTGGGGAGTCCCACAAGGCTCTCTCTGGATCGAAGGGACATAGAGCTCAGAGAGGGAGGAGAAAAATGACATGGGCTAAAGAAATAGGTGAGCGTTTCCTTGGAACAAAGAGTGTATCTTTGAGCACAAGCATGCAAGTGCTGATCCCATTCAGAAAAACCTCCCCGGAAGTGGGAAAGAAAGAGCAGCAGTTCATTTTACTGAGGACAGGGACCCGTGAATGCACAAGGAAAGAGGCAAATAAAATGAGGCAAATGAAAAAGCCATAGGCGGGAGAGACCACTGGAGAGCAGGAAAGAGAGGGCTGGGTGTGCGGAAGCTGACTGGCCCTGGAGAAGGAGCCGGCCCACATGATGAAGCCAGAGGACTTACAGAGAATGGCCTGCAGCACGACAGAGGCGAGCAGGACCAGCGTCAGGATGACGAAGGCAGCACGGACCGTGCAAGGTTTCCTCAGAACTGGAGACGAACCCATCTTGGGAGGAGGCTCTGTTGGAAGAAGAAGACATTTGTTGAAGGACCAGCAAACGCGGGTTTAGGCAGAGAGCATTGAGCGGGTTCTGAGTAGGAACTGGTGCTTGCCTCGGGGCCAGAGGGAGATGTTCTGTTTATCTACAGTGAAGTGAGCATCAGGGACCTCACTCTCTGCAGCCTTCATCCTGCACTCTTACCCCTGCATACAGGTGCTTCTGGCCAGCTCTCTCACCAAGGAACTTTTATCTAGAAGAAAGGGGAAGTGAGTCCCACAAAAGGTAATCCCCAAGTTCCCCATTCCTGACTTAGACACCTTGCCTGGCCTATGCCACAGTTCCGGGCTTTCCTCAAAGGAAAGAGGTTATTTGTCTCCTTCCTTTTTTTTGGGGGGGGGGGTCTGTTACTTGGATACCTTCACCATCTTGTCCCAAGGCTATCCTACTTCTTTAATCCCCTCATCCATCATTTACCCACCCATCCATTCATTCCACAAACACATATTGACTGCCTTCTAAGTACCAGACACTGTACTAGGACTGGGCCACAAAGATGAATAACTCAGATTATTTGCATTCAAGCACTTCACAGTCTGGAAGGAAAAACAGACCCAAGCAAATAATTTACAATACAGGGTGATGATCATAACAATGGAAGCATATGCACGATTGAAAGGAAGTGCAGAGAATGGAGTAATGGTAAAAAGTCCCAGGTAGAGGGATTGGCATATTTAAAAGTATAGGGGCATAAGGCAGCATGGAATGTCAGGTCAACTGTAAGCATTTTGGTGGTGTTGGCATGTAAAGTATATGACAGGAGCAGAAAGGCCACGAGGCTAAAGAGACACGTAGGGTCAGATCATGAAGATCCTTATGGATTATGTTAAGAAGCTTGGACTCTGACTTAGGGTGATATGGAGCCAATGAAGGCCTTCAGGCAGGAGAGAGAGAGAGGATGGGAACATTGTAAAAAGATTACTCTGATCATGGTGAGAAACTCTGATCATGGTGAGAAACCTAGATTAAGGTGTGAAAATTCTGGAAGCAGAGAGACCAGTAAGGAAACCATTGTGCTGAAATATTCTAATTTCTATTATTAAGGCATCTTAGATGATGCCGTATTCCTTTATCAAATGGAAGCTTCTCATCTTTTGAAGAAGTCTGCCAAATCTGAGAAACCTCATACATAACGGATTCTAAACATATATTTCTTGGAAGGTGGAAAGGAGATGAAGGAAGAGAGGAAGGGAAAGAGGGGAGGAAAAAGAAAAGGCAGTCAGTCCAGATAATTACATGGGTGAATGGGTGGAATGGATGAATAGGTGGGTGGATGGATGTACCCACCCATTGATTATGTACTTATCAATGATGGGTACATGAAAAACAAATGAATGGAAGAATTGATGGCTGATTATTTCTTAAGTCAGAACCCTACAGTCTGTGGGCTGGGATCTGTCTTCCAGAAGTTACTGCTTCTTCCCACTGCCTTTGGAAAGTCTCATTCATTACCACAGCAAAGGCATGAATGAAGGATGATTGACACCTTACCCAAAGTGCAAAACAGTTCTGGCCATAGGACTAGAAAGCTAGCCCAGCCTTGTTGAGGCTGAGCAAGTGGAGCCAGTTGGCAAAGTGGTGTCAGAGACCGGGGTTGGAAGCTAAATGAGCAGGGGGAAGGAAAGAGCTACCTACACTTTCAGGGGATAATTGAGAAGATCCGACCTCCCTGCTCAGCCCTGTCTGGCCAGCCCATTGTTCTTACAGGCCCCTAGCCGCTCTCTCTCTGGCTGCCTAGGCCTCAGACTGGAGCTGCTTCTCTGACTGAATGAGGAAACCCCACACCACACTTCCCTAGTGCTGAGAAGGAAGTGGGTCACAAGGATGTTGGGATTCACCCTCTTTCATCTCCTCTCTCCCCACATTCTGTCTGGAGCCTCCAGGACTTCTATCTGTCCTAACCTTTGACTTCAGCTAATCGCACAAACTGAAGGCCTCACACTAACTCACTGCTGGTCTCTGCGCAGTTATAACTATACCCATTTTCTTCAGGCTGCTCATCTAGTTGCAGAGCCTTGGTTCAATGGTTAGAATGTTCTGCTCCTGAACTCTCATGCTTAGTACCCAGTCTAACCCTAGAGTCAACTCAGCTCTTCTGCTCCTGGCTTCTGGCCCTACATTCACAACTACATTCACAGTTCAGGGCCCGAGCGTGGGAAAGAATCCAAGTTACTCAAAACTGTGATAGAAGGAGCCCTTAGGGTCCAGGTCTCCTCCTGAGGCATTTGAGAGAGAAGCTGACACACAACACAACTTGGGAGCATCTGGCCCCTCCCTTCTCTGCCAAAAAGTTGACTTTTCCCAAATCTTTGCTGGTTGGTAGCATGAGCCATTAATGGCACATTCATATGCCCTCTTGGTGGTCCCAGGAAAGGATCCAGAGCTTCAACGTGCTGGCACCCCCTGTGGAAGAAGGGGCTGATGTTGGGGAGCATGTATCCACGTGATAAACACGGAGGCCCCAAATAGGTATTCTACTGATCACTGGACAAAAGGTTGATCCAGCAGGAGGAAGTTAAACACGAAGCAACCAGAATCCTGGGCTGTGGGTCCTGTGGTATTCCAGAGGCAATGGGTGTAAAGTCCCGTACTGAGTTTCATTTCCCACTTGCAGAGAAAGAGTGCGTCACCTGCCATTTTCCATCTCCTGGTGTTCACTGAGCACGAGCACCTCTCCCGTGCACCCCTCTGGGTGCTCCACCTGGCCCCTGCCCTGCCGGCCTGGAAGGAGAACCAGGAGAGAAGTGCTCAGTCGTGCTTTGTAACCAGAGATGTGGGCAGTTCTCCTGGACACTCTGGAGATGCCATAACTTCCAAACAGAGGAGGAAGTTTGGGCCAGACCAGGAGTGACCAAAAATCACTGCTGTCATGAGAGAAAAGGAAGTCCAAGCTCATTTTTCTGTTTCCCCACTGGCCATGCTACTGAGGTTCTAAGACCTTTTCTGGATAAGGATGGAGGAAGGAAACAGTTTGGCCACTTCTCCCCTTTCTCTGGTTGGAACGCACCTTATTCTTAAAGGTGGACCATGGATATCATCAATGGGAGTGGAAAAGAGACCAAGAAACTAGAGTGGACAACAAACCAGGGAGAGGGGAGCGGGGAAGGAGCAGAGACACAGAGAGGGGAAGAGAGGGAAGAATAACTATGAAATGAGATGGGAGCCACTACAGCTGGTCAGGCTGGTCCACAGGCCTCAGAGAGGACTCCTGCACACAATGTAATGGGGGATTTCACCGGCAGAGCCCAGATAATTAAAAGATTCCATACCACACTCTAGATGTGTGGCCTGGAAGAGCAGATAGGACAGAGACACCAAGAAGGAAGAGTGGTAGGTGGGACGTTTCATCCATCCATTCCTCTAGAATGCCTGCTCTGCCCCAGGTGCAAGGAGAAAGACAGCTATAGGCCTTGCATTCAGAAATAGTGTTCCTCTTGGTGGAAAAAAAATCTTATTTTTTTTATTCTTGAATTAATGGAGAACTCTCCCAAGATTGAAGAGAACCAAGGACACTATGGGGGACCTCCCCAGTCTTCCTTAAACTTGGGAATGGGTTACTCTTTTTAAGGACATTATGTGGAGGCAGGTTTCTCTGGAGCAGTGACAATGGGCCAGGCCATAGGAAAACAGGCCATTGCATCTGGTGCCACATAAGCAGTGGTCTGGACATTGGAGGGTGCGGGAGAGAACCTGGCTGCATGGAAAGATGGCTGAGTCCAGGGTAGAGGAGGCTGCTCTGAACCATCCAAGTCAAAGAACCCTGTCTGTGGCCATAGTGGGAAGGGCAAAGTCATGTCAGGAAAGTAACAAAGGACTCTTGGAAAAAGTATGCATAGTTGCTTTTTAAATCCTTTGTTTCTTTATTATATAAATAACTAGAGGCCTGTTGCACGAAAAGGGTCATGCAATAGGCTTTCCCTTCCCCTGGCTGCTGGCACCAGTTTTCCTCTGGCACCCAGGACCCAGACCTTCACTCTGGCCACCGCCTTCCATCTTCGCTCTGGACCCAGTCTTCGCTGTGGCTGGAGCCTTCAGTCTCTGGCCAGAGCTGCTCCTGTCACTCCTTCCGCCCCCCACCATCCCCCTCATAGCTTGATCGCTGCTTCGCCTGCAGACCTCAGGCTCCTGGGTCCCAGGAGTGCCGCCTTGCCTGCGGCCCGGCTTTCTGATCGAGATCATTGGCTGGGGGGCGGGCAAAGGTGGCCCCGGTTCTCCAATCCAGGGCCGGGGGCAGGGCAAAGTCAGCTCTTGCCTGCTGTCTGGGTTTCCGATCACCGTTCTTCCGTCCTTCCCCTTTCGCCTCCCATCATTGAGCCTACATGCAAATTAACCGCCATCTTTGTTGGAGGTTAACCACCATCTTTCTTGGCAGCTAATTTGCATATAGCCCTGATTAGCCAATGGGAAGTGTAGCGAAGGTAGAGTCAATTACCATTTTTTTTTATTGGAAGATAGGATAATATTCATTATAGAAAAATTCCAGGTAAGCAAAAGAAAAAAAATTACCTACCATATAGGGGAGAAAAACCAGCTGTATACCAGTTCATTCTTCCTATTTTCATGTATATATGTATATGTAGATATACATATATCTACATGTATATTCATAGCACTATCTAACTATAACTGTGTATACATTTTTATAAGTATTGAATGGGACAGCTCATGTTTATTTTTCCCAGCATCCTTCCCACACTCTTTTCCAAGAATTGCCTTCCTTTTCGATCCCCACATTCCTTGACTCACAGCCAGCGTCAGCAGGTTGTTTTTATCGCATCCCATCATGACACTGAGTCTTCTGCCTCCTGCTTCCACTTCAAGGACTCTTACGTTGGGCCCACCCACTTAATACATGTATATTCATAGCACTATCTAACTATAACTGTGTATACATTTTTATAAGTATTGAATGGGACAGCTCATGTTTATTTTTCCCAGCATCCTTCCCACACTCTTTTCCAAGAATCGCCTTTCTTTTCGACCCCCACATTCCTTGACTCACAGCCAGCATCAGCAGGTTGTTTTTATCGCATCCCATCACTGACACTGAGTCTTCTGCCTCCTGCTTCCGCCTCAAGGCCTCTTACGTTGGGCCCACCCACTTAATCCAGGATAATTTCCCTATCTGATTAGCAACCTCCATTCCACTTTGCCATGTAACTCAATATACTCCACGGTTCTGGGGATTAGGAT